TGGAAATATCATAAAATACTTACCTAGTCGTAGCATATTATACTAAGCGGCATACCATCATACTTTGCTCATCTTATTTTTGAACATGTTCGCTAAAAATTACGAAATCAAAAAATGCGTATCACACACGATTTTAATAATAATAATTGGTATTCACGGTAAACCACGATCAATAATATTATAATACCAATAAATTATAAATCTAAACATCAAGCATTTTTTACAAAAGAAAATATGATTAATATTCTTCACGATTCGTCGTGTTCGTCATTAGTCATTACTTTGTCGTGTATACAAATGTGCTTATTACACAAAATATTTACATAAAAAAATCATAACTGAATTCTTTCTATTCATCCTCATACCAGATAATAATAATAAAAATTTAATACAAATATACACTTTTTTCAATCAATTTTATTTTAATACATAGTTATTAATGAAACAGTTAAAATCTACTTCTTTTTCATTCAAATAAAGTGATTTTTTTTTATCGACTACTTCTGAACATAATCATTAATAAGTCCTTTGGATTATTAAATTACTTTTGAAAATATATATAACTAATGATCAGAAATACTAAATAATAGATAATATGATGACACATTGAACATTATGCGATACATAATTGAGTGATATAGTGATATAGATATTTATGACCGAAAATATGAGTCCAACATTTAGAAATAATGAAAATTTGTTGTTGTCATTTATTATTCACTATTTCTCAGTGAAACAGTCAACGTTTTTATTGACGGTTGAAAAATAAAAATGATTTTCGTTAAATTTTAAATTTAAACATATATATATATATATATTTATATTTTTACAGTTCATATATAATATAGTAAGGATTATTTGTATTTTATTACTATGTAAATACGACTGCGTAAATAATGTATATTTTATATTATATCGTCATTTATCCTTAATTTGGTCCTCCGATTCTAGTCTTTAGTACTGTGGAAATAATTATTAGATATTAGTCATATAATTAATACATTGATTGATTATATCAAAACTGTCTTCAGACAATGAAGTGCAGCTATATAATGCATTATCATGTTTTATTACATATCTTACATTTATTTACGTTATAAAAATTACCTACAAATATACCTTTCATGTTTTAATTATATTTTATTGGTTATTTTATTTTTAGTTTATAAAAAAGTTGCTTATGTTTTTGTTACACGGGGTAAAGTATTTTGGTAGGTAGTCGGACCATTGCATTTCTTAATTCATCAATGAATCCAAAAATAAATAAATTTAAATTTATATTTATATCTAATACAAACAAAATACCATTTTAATATTTAAACACTTAATATATTAAAATTTTTTGATGATGGTGTTTAAAAGTACTCTACTTCATCAAAAAATTCATTTTCATTTTCATAGATTACAATAATTACATACCAAACTTACTTTACACTGTCTACTGTAATAATCAATTATTTTTATTTTTGTTATGTTTTATATATCATTTTTCAAATGTTTAATTTAGATTTTTTTATAGTTTATTAGTCATTTTATTTTTTAAATAAATGTGTAGTAATATAGATAATAACTATACCATTCAAATTTAAAGTATATTAATTGTATAATAATAAGTTAAATGCATTATTCAGTCAACAAGATCCAAATCATAATATTGTTTTCATCTATTTTGTTAGTTAGAAATTTCAAAACACTAAAATGTAATCAAAATTTATAAAATCAAAATGTCGGAAAATCGTTGTATTTAATTGTAGTTTAGCAACTAAAACACAAATTTAGTATCTATGACGAGCTATTTTCGAACTTATTTTAATTTATTGTTTATAAAGTTGGTTAGCACTCGGCATATTTTGGTTGTTGAAAAAAGAAATGTTTTCATAATTAAAAATTTCAATTTTATATAAATACATTCTATTATATAATATGGAATATTTTATTTATCTATTGAAACGTTGTCATTACCTAGGTAACGTTCAATTTGGTTTTACTAATATGATAAACTTATTAATTAGTACCTAAAGCAACATAACCGGTTAAGGTCAGATTTTAAGTATATTGGTCATTTTCGGGTGCTATCTTTGTATAAAATTTAATATAAATTTGTTTTTAAAACAAAGCAATACAAGTTGTTTTTTAATGTACGTGAAATGGTTTGTTTCTTTGAAATTAAACTTAGTGATCGATCTCAATTATGTGATACCTATTACATGTTTGTTACTAAACACTATATAAACAAAAAATCTGGTATTGTTCCTTTCGACCCACTGGAAACTTATTTGGCTTATTAAATGTACCTATTATTTTTATTAATTAATATTTTCGTTGTAAATAAAAGATTTTTCTGGGAATACCTATGTTTTTTTTTCTAGTTATAAAATAATTAAGCACTTTTCATTTCTCCATTTTTGGCCTTTAAAATTGTTTGAATTTATGATGTACTAATATTAAACTATATAAATCCATATATTTCGATACTTTTCATATTATAATAAAAAAACTTTAGTCATCATATGAAAAACGTTGCAGTAAAAAATTCAAAAACTTTATTATTATGGTATCACTCGTTGCTGGTTTTATTTTTATTTCACATTATTAAACAATCAAATAGCGCGTGTAGTCTCTCTCTCAGTTTATATTGAACTGTTAATATGTCTTTGAAATAAAAATTTAAAATATGTTATTGACAATCATTCAAATATTCTTTTTATTTTGGTTTAGACGCATCTGTTTCAGTATACTCCATCTAGTCTCGTTCAATGGATAATATAATTATATAAACTTCCTCATATTATACCCCTTTAAATTTGATCATGTGGTTTTTTCATACTTGAAGATAACATTTTACCATTCTTCTTTAACTTCTTCAATTGATTACATGAAAATATTAATTCAAATATTATAAGCAATATATTTATGAGTTGTACCTATCATAATATTTACATCAAACTCTTCATAATATTATTATGCTTACAGCGAATTTCAGATTAGTGTTCTTTTTTTTTCATTTCGTTTTGTTTTTATTTCTATTCAATGAAAGACTGATCGATACTGACACAGTTGTTTGTGTATATTTATCAATTAACAGCAAACCGTATATTGTTGCTTGTCATCAAAAAATTTTACGACGATAAAACGATATAAACTGTTTTTACTTGGTAATCGCTAACTAATATTATCTCCACATAATATATATAACCCAATATTAAGAAAATAACAAAAACTGTCCGAGTTACATCATTCAATATTATTTTCATTGCGCATCTATTAGGGTTTTTTTTTGTTATATATATTGTAAGAAACAATCTATTTACTTTATCTGTGTATAAGTGAAGAAGGCGGTTAAAACCATTTTTTTAAGGGCGTGGTTTTATTTTATTTTATTTTTCATCCTGCAGCTACCAACGTCCATTTTTTAGCTATGAAGTTACATTTAAAAATCTCCATAATGGTTTTCAACTTTTGTAAAAAAAAGTCAGAAAAATTAAAAATGTATTTCCTATGAGACTTGTAGAAATCAGACTTACGAATTTGAAAAAAATATCAACATTTTAATCGAACCACGGGAATAATTATTTTAATTTAAACCTCCGGTTACTTCTGGTTTATATGCATAAAAAAAATCAACCATATTTTAAATCTCCTTAAAAAAAATATGAATATCGCTGTAATCCAACAAATCACAAATGCCAAAAACCTATTTCGTAAGCGTATACTATTATAAATTTACAGACACATCAAAATATTATATTGCATTGCATTTGATACATTCAAAACTCAAAATACTAATATTATACAATGTACCTACCTATATTATTTACATTATAATAAATATTTATTTTACGGTTTATTGTACGTTATACCTATTTTAATTTATAACTTATAAGTCGTAGAAATTGTATAATAACAGCCGTCTATCTATATATTAGTAATGATTTATTCGAGATATACCCATTGTGCGTTACTATGATATATAGGTAGTAGTTAACTGTTTATGCGATTATTTGATTACATACACAATCATATTATTATTTTGTACGAGGTGTATTTTTCTTCGACAATTATTGTGTACGTCGTGTATTTTATGATAATATATTATTACGTGTACATGAGTATACATACATATATTTATGGCAAAATGCTCTGCTGTAAATTGTAATCTTAACGGATTATCATCGATCGTTTGTTAAAATATGGTATTACGTAGAATCCTATGGGTTTCTTTTTATTTTATATATTAAAAATATGAATATATTATAAATAAAGGTGACATTTTACAAAAAAAAAAAAAAATGTTTTTATTTAGTAAAAATTTGCATTCGCATCCATCGCATATTATTAATGTCACGTTTCCAAACACGAGGTACCTATATATATGTCGATCTCGCGTTCAAGATAACTATACATAATATAAACAAGGGCGCTTGCAAGGGGAGGCGAGTAGGGACAGTGTTTTCACTTGTTCAATGTTTCAGGTCAACGACCGCAATAGACTAAAATTATAATATATTTCAATTTGTATACGACATGGTATTATACGTTATGCAATTATTCAACTTATGAATATTTTTTTTTTCCATAAAAGTGTTATGTTAAATGTAGACATTGATTACAAGCGGTGAGAACTGATAGCGTTCCTAGAGTACCGTATATATTGACGTAGTTAGTATATATTATTATGGTTAAATCATACCTAAGCGTCCTAAGCAAGCCATCTGAATTTCAAATTGCTTAAAAAATATTCTTAAAATTGTTCAGTTTTTTCTTCTGGATTATTTATAGGATATATAGTATGAAGTATACTATGAATTATGATATATTGATATAGTGTTGGTCAATTTAAAATGATTTTCCAGCTGACGCTCTCGATAGGTACCTAATAATTATTATTAATACAGTTAATATAATTGTGTATTATAATATTGTTACTTACCATATTATTACCTATATTTATTTATTTGTTTGTTTGTTGGCTTGTCTATTTAAACGTTTAAATCTTTCAGCAAGGAGATCGATCGAGATGACCAGAGTGAGGGCAACCGACCCGAGACCGTGTCCCAAGTGCGGCAAGATCTACCGTTCGGCACACACGCTCCGCACACATCTGGAGGACAAGCACACCGTGTGTTCTGGATATAGATGCGTGCTGTGTGGCACGGTGGCAAAATCGAGGAATTCGTTGCACTCGCACATGTCGCGTCAACACCGCGGTATAAGTACCAAGGACCTACCCGTGCAACCGATGCCGTCCAATTTCGATCCGGAACTGGCGTCCAACCTGCTGCTGAAAGCCGGAGTCAAGGTACTACGAGAATAAAATATGTTATTTATTATAGTTTTTCAAGTGTGCTTTTCCGGAAAACCAAATGGAAATTCGTAACAACATCACAATCATTATACAACCCCGACAATTAGTGTTAACCGAGACCTAGTCACGTTCGAAACATCGAACCTCAATATTCATGACCAAGACCGGATTTTAAATGCCTTTAAACCTATAGCTATATATAATATAACCTATTGCTCTAAAAAAAATGCTTTGATCACAATGATTTTAAAATTTTGCCCACTTAAACATTTTTTTACATTATTAAAAAAAAAACTGAGTACATATTTCAGTCATTTATAAAGGAAGTTTAATCATTTTAAAATTAAAAAAAATGGAAAAGACTCATTAGTGTAAAAATGTTTAAGAAAATGTGTACCAAATAGTTTATTTATTTAAAAAAAAAAATCTATCGCCCTATCGATGACCTCTAGAACGAATTCTAGACGGTGTTTGGTAGAAATGTCTACAGTGAAAAAATAAATAAAGAAAAAATGGCATTAACAAATATTTTATACACTGTGAAAATATTTGGTTAACGTGTGGTATCAGACAATCAACTGTAATAACGTGTAATGTAAAATGGTGCATTATATTATATTGTCTCGAACATTTACAAACCCAAGATAAATTATTATTTGTAAATTTACTGTCTTCAGACTTTAGAAGGTTGACATTTATCAATCTGTTTATGCGGTTTGTAAATTTAAATATTTCCATGTATCCAATTATGAAAATCAGGAAATCTACTAATTTATTCTGCGCAGAAAATATTCACAATAATATCTAATGCAAATGTATACAGCATTTCTAGTTTAAATTCACTAACATTTTTACAATGTATTTTATTTATTAACATATAGACACATAGTGTTCACCAATACTTTTTTATTATTATAAGCGCACGTGCTATAAGTCCCAGACAATAAATTTATATTTGAATAACTTAAAAAAAAAATATTTTTAAATAAATAAAATAATTTTAAGAATGTTTGGATTTTTAATAATATCATTCGAATATTGTAATAACGAAGGTCTACCTTGCGGTTTTGGCCTTTCACGTTTTTAGAATTGTATGGAATCGTATAAACTATAAAGCATCACGCTGAAATTAACTAAATTATGTTCATAATTAATTATATAAATATAGATGTTAGGTGTATACAAATATTTATGATTTTTAACTATTCAATATCCAAACATTTGTTTATAAAAGCAATGCTTAAAATATTATAAATATAATTAATGAACAATGTGCATTGAATAACATTTGGTGCTTCGGTAGGTATATTATTTTCGATGACCCATTTGTTTGTTCTTTAGATTTTATCTAAAAATCATAACTAAAATATTACAATGTTGTATATAATTTGAAACGAATATTGGCAAAATAAAGTTATACTAGGTGTGTTAAAAACAAAATGTAATTGTAAAATATATTCTTGTCGTAGTTTAATTTTAATATTATGGGAAATAAATATTTTAGATTTAATATTCAATCATAATTAATAAAATATTCACAATTTCACCGAGTGCCGTTGAAGTTTTTATAATATTGTCGTTACAAATTTGTTGTGCTAAGAACAATAGCTTTCGTGTCTCGGTATTTTATCTGTTTTATGTTGTAGGCGCTTCAAGGACTGTAATAATAGTTATTACTTTTTTACGAGTGTTCATTGTTCAGTACAGAGAGGCCCCCTTTGCGTACTGTTTTTGATCCCCAGTGTTTCCGAAAAATTAAGGATATGGCTCTCCATTTTATTGCTCGTCCCGTTGTAAATCGTATACAACTTCAGGGAACGGAAATGCGAGCGGTCGGTAAACTCTACCGCGGGGCCATATATACTCGTATCGCGTGAGGTGTAACATTGTTTTCAAATGTTTTTTTTTATATTACTATGGCTGCTCTAAGCAATTATTGCGTCCTATTATTAATGTTATCGGTAGCATTCAAAATCCGTACGCTTTATTGGATTGTCATAAAATGTAAATATCGCACACAATCTTGAACCTATTCAGACCTGTAGATGTATTATATGAACGTCAACAATTGTAGCCAAGTATACTCACAATTTTGGGAGAAGCACTAGGTAGCACTAGATATTCATATTACCGCCCAAAATGAAAAAAATAGAAGGTGAAATTGTTATTTTAACATGTAAACATTTTTAATAAATATTAAATAATTAAATTTAAGTAAGCGATGAGCTAATTGTGTAGTGTGGTTTACCTATTGAAAGTGAGCGGTTTCGTCGTGTATTTTATCAAGTTTAAGTGTGCGGTTTTTGGTTTCACAACAGCAACTATAGTATCCATGTTTATATCTTAAATTCTAATAGCTGGACTGTGAAAATTGGCACTAATTTATAAAGTTGTGAAAAACCACCCTAAGTGATTAATAAAGAAAACAAAAATTAATTTGTGTCGTGACAAAATATAATATATTTAAGTGGACCTTAAATTTGCTACCTCTAACACGAAGTTGTTTCCATCTTAAAAATGTACAACGCATTTAAAATTTTCGTTCAGGAGAGTCTATTTTGTGGGCTTGGTTTCATTATTATTCTTAATTGTTGTATAATAATTGTATTATAGTGTACCTATATTACTCTATAATCAAATCTAAAGATGTAATATTATCTATAGGGTAAACTCGCATATAGGATTTTATTGATATATTTGAATTTTAAGTGACTCATAAAAGAATGGAAAATATTACGATTTTAGAATGCTCATAATTCGCATTACAATTTAAAGATCTAAAAAAAAAGTCTTGACCAGAGGTAATATTTTTATCTTTACATTAGCTGTCCAAATTACACCGGACAAATTGTAAATTGCATGTTGCCTGCGTTGTGGTTTAGACAAATCGGTGAGTTATGCCTTGTGTTTAGCCTAACCCATCAAGAAACATATTTCCAGAATTTTTATCCACGATTACCTTAGGATAGTTGTTACAACTATAGCCATGAGTCAGGTCCATATTGTGGTAGAAAACACAGTCGCTATCGCACCCCCCCTAATGCGCGTCTGATGATTTCAGGTATCACCAGCTGAACTACGGGCGAGGGCTTCGCCGACGGACGCGGTCACCACCAGCCACCGACGCGGCGACGGCAAGCTGGACTTGCAGTCGGCCAACAGCAGCGTGTGCGGCGGCGACGATCCCGAGGACCTGACCGTAAACTCGTCCGGTCATCACCACCACGGCCACCACAACAACAACAATAACCATCACCACCAGCAGTACGGCAACAACAACAACAACAACAACAACCAACAGCGGTTCAGCGACTCGCAGCAACAGCAACTGTTGCAGCAGCAGCAGCACCTTCTCCACAACAGCGGTGGAGGCAAGTTTCCCACTGCCATGGACCTGATCGACAATTATGCTCGGGTGGGCGGTGGAGGCGGCGGAGGCAGCGGCGGAGGCGCCCTGTCGCCGTTCCTGCCGTCGTTCGCGGCTTGCGGCAAGGATCTGCAGCCGGGCGACAGCAAGATCTCGCCGTACAACAACAAGGCGTTCCTGGACTCGTACCTCAAGGCGCTGGTTGAGACCAACCCTCCGCTGTTCTACGCGTCCAAGATCGCCGGCGACATGATCAAGCACGAGATCGCGCCCGACGACGCGGATTACTCGTCCGCGTCCGACGAGGACGACATTGACGAGGACGACATCGACGAGGACGTTGATGAGGACATTGGCGACGAGGACGATGACGACCGACGGCGCCGGCGCGGGCATAGCGACGGCGCCGCCGCTGGTAGCGTCAATGACACGCCACTGCCGCTGCAGGCCGGCAAGAACTGATAGGGCACAACCGCCCCCCCACAACCGCATCAACCGTTCGCCGGTGTGAGAGCGACGAAACAGAAGTGTAAAAAAATCAAAAAAAAAAAATCAAAAAAAAATTTAGGACTTAGGCCTTTTTAGTTTCCAGTGTATATCGAATAAAACCGCGATTCGTCGTCTGCAGTGCGAGAGTGAGAGAGTGAGAAAGAGAGAAGATAGTACGTATATAAAATATTTTAATGATTATTATTATTAATGTGTAATATAATATAATAATAGCTATAATGTGTAGCGGACGGGGTTAGGTCGTGTGTACGATGATATTCGCGGACGGAACTACCTGTACCGTATAAGATCTAAATTTATTTTTTTAAAGACATTGTGAATATATATTATGTATACGTCAACGGAAATTCTCGGAGGACAATAATTTCTAATATTATCATACTTACTAAGCGAAAACTATCATGAAACACGGTATAAAATTTTTTTGATTCAATGCCCCACAGAGAAAACGTAGGTAGATCTATTTTCTGATCCGGTGTTTTTATTATTATTATTATTATTATTATTATTATTAATCTATTTTTTTTTACGTTTTTATTTATTTACGACTAGTCATTAAATTGTTTAACAGTCCAACATAACAGTTCAAACATGTTTGTTCCTAAATGTTTTTATCAGACTTTTTAAAAAAAAACTCTTTTCGTTCGTGCCATAGTATATAATATACACCTATATAATAATATAATATTTACGAAACCTTTTACGGGTAAAACTCTCTCTAATATTATATAGTATACCATACCATTCCTCTTCAACTACCTCAATCGTAGATATTAAAATGTGTTTTTTTTGCTGACACCAAGTAATAAATCGATCACAACCTCTTATCACAAGACTTGAATTTATTATATTATTATATGTATAATATTTTTTTTTGTCTTTAAAGAACATGCCATATTAACTCGTTAGTTAAAAGTAGGTACCTCATAACTATAAACCAGTATTAATAAAAACAATTTTAGTGATGCAGCAAAGTTATATCATTAAGTTTGTCGAAAACTCGTAGTACCATTATTGAAAACCCCTATGAGTTTTATTTTTTAAATTCATTTAATTACTTATTTTTTATTTATTTTTTTGTCTAATTATAAACACACATTTTGTTTGTGTTGACCCGTTTGTTTCAAGTATGCATTTCAATGATAAAAAATTGCTAACAGTATAGTCTGAAGACTTCCTCATTTCATATGTGTTCAACAACAATGTAATATTTATATAATATAAATGATTTCATTATGAGACTCGAAATATATACCTATGCAAACGCATCATCTTAAATACAATTTACAAAAAACGTATAATTTTAAAATATTGTTCTATAGAACTTAAAATATTATGTTTTATACATGCGACTAAAATAAACAATAAAATAATAATACTTTGGTATTACCATAACATATGTATATATTAATTTATGATATATACAAACAATTATAAGGCTCAATGTATATAATATCGTGTTTTTTTGAATTATTATTTTTAATTATGTTTTACACGTTTTTTTAAAAAAATAGAGTACAAATCAAAGTGCAAAATTAGCATTAGTTTTTTTCAAGCGGTTAACAAACGATAGCCGATTTTGAAATTAAATTAAAAAATCTGAACTAATTGGGTTTCTTTTACTACGTTATAAGTACAATTTAAATAATAATATATAATCTTATCAAATATAGTCAATACAACTTAAAGTACAAACATAAATGTTATTTTTACTATTAAAATTATTTTAATGCGTGTTATTACTGTATACATAGTTTTTAAATGTTTTAAATAATGTAACCATCAAACATCTGAACAAAGATATCGTATTATTTTATTATTTCTGTATCTCCCTCAGTCGAACCCAAGTGCAATAATTATTTGACATAATAACATCAATATTATTTTATTACTAACAAAAAAAAAACAATTTAAAAGTTCAGCATCTTGGTTATACGAATGTTATGTGTATTTCTGTTGATCATTCATTCATTTTTATTTATTTTTTTTATTATTATTTATTTTTTTTATTATTAATTGACACTAGTCACTGATTTCTTTCATGCTATTCATCAAACAAAATAATAAAACAGCTTGTTGACCAATGAAGTAATATTATGAAATATTTACTTACAAACTTAAGTTATTAATATTATGTTTTTTTTTTTTTATTAAGGTCGTGGTCATTTTTCCTAATTAGACTGACGAAAGGAAAGACTGATGACACTTTATGTATTTTTTATTTTTATGTTTTACATTGAAAAATCTGAAGTGCCTCGCATTATTAATTATGTTAGTAGATAGGTGGTTGGGCACAAACTGAACAAATTTTTCCATGTATGCATAACAGTTTCTCATTATTTATTATATTTTTTTTCATTTTAATTTACCTCAACAATATACTATAAATAAAAGACTACCATAAATTAAAGCATATATAATATATTTAAAAAAAAAAAATACGTCAAATAAGACTTATTATAAATTAAAATAAAATAATGTGTAAACCATTTAAACTGAGTAGATAAACAATTAAAAAATATATTTTTAAACTTAAAAACAATACGTTTTATCTCTATTATACACATTAAACCAAGAAGTAGAACAATGATTGATTAATATTTGAATTATTACATTTTTTAAACCCCTCTTTTTTTATATATATATATAACACGTTTTTGTACAGATTTACATAAAACCTTCAAGATTTTATTGAAATGTAGGAAAATATTTATTCAGACCGATTATAATGTTATTATATAACGTAGACTGGTGCTTTAACAATGAATTGATATATATAATTATTATTGATATTATACTCAGCTCACAATGTAAAATTAAACCAAGATTATTGTTTTAAGACTCAGTGAATTGAGTATTTTATTTTGTCATATTATGTATAATGTATATACAATTTTTTTTTTGTTAATCAAAGTTTAGACCGGATAATTATTATAGTACAAACATTTTAACATTTAAGTTAGATAGTACCATGTATAATTTTAGTTAATAAGATTTGTTATGCATAAAATAATGATGTCGATGATTTTTTTCTTTTGTAAACCTGCATAAGTAATTATTTTTATGTTGAACAAGTGCCATATATTTTAAAATATTGTAATCATAATATACTGAATATTAAAGGGAATAATCAAACGGAACACATGTACCTGTAATCAATGTGTCTTTAAATTATATAACTGACATCTACTAGAGTATGAACCAATAACTTTCGATCTTAATCATTTGAATTTCATGATTTTCAAAAAAAAAATTGCTAGTACAAGCGATCACGATACGAAATATCACATTAAATGTCATATTTTTATCGAACAATTGTCAATTATCACGTTACGATAAGTAAAAGATTACGTCCAACAGAGATTCAGCCTAGCTGTGAAGATTTTGTCTGTCAATTTCTCACACTCGGGACCAAATCTCTGTGAAAGTAGACTTGTTGGTTCATATTTAGTGTATATTAGTAATTAAAACATACAAATTATTGTGAAACATTTATAATAACGCAATGCAAAGCGCTCTTCTAAAAATAATTATCTTTACTTTGTTTTTCTTTACATGCCACTACATAATTAATCTTTTAAAAATATTCATTGCATTGTATGTTTTGCTTTTTGAGTTGCAATATTTTTTTTCATTTTATAAAAAACAGATCTGCTCTGCTCAATTTGTTAATATTGTTTATTTATAATGATTGATTTTTTTTTTTAAATTACAGTTATAATTTTTAATTGTATGGTTTCTTATAATTAATATTATCTTTACTATTATTATTATGATCATTAATTTTTAAAGGCCTTGTACTTAAAAACAAATATAATACGATTAAGGAAAACCATGTACAAACAATAATAATTTCAAACGATAAGCGGAGACCATAGTAGTTTTAAAATGATAATCATAATGAAATTGACAATGTTCTGTTTTATTGATTTTGTAAATTACAATGTTAAAATTGGTTTACTCGTCGATATTGGTACCAGTCAATGTTCCTAATTATTTTTATGTATTTTATTCTTCGGTTTTTTTGAATTTACAATACGATGCCCGCTAAGTTCTTGTTGTCTTCTAAAATCTCGCTGGCCACTGTTTTGTTATATTCTATTTATTCGAATCCCATCAGATTGAATGATCATTGATTGTTAGTCTGTGCAATTGATAACAAACGATTTAAGTAAAAAATATTGAATTTTCTTAAACCACAAGAAATGTTCCGGGGTTTTTTTTTACCGATTGACACTTTTGATTTTATTGTACCACTTGTATGCTCGCAGTGGTGGCCACTTGTTCGACCCTTTTGTTTGATACCATCTCTGTGTAAAAATTGCAAAAATCGTTTTACAATCTGCTGATACTACCATTGGTGGTTACCGGATATCGGTTAGCAGACCCCAATGTGTAAGTTTTCGGTACAATATTAATAAAACTTGGTCAACCACCATCATCGAGTCTCTCCCCCCCCCCCATATCGTATTTGAATATTTGCTTTGTCGTATGTGTATTTGTATGTGTGTATGTGTGCGTATGTGAAATAGCTGTCCAAAATTATTTTTTTTAATGACACATCTTATGAAAAAAAAAAAGAAAAAAAACCAAAAATAATATAATATATAGCGAGTCACGTGTTGTATAAAGTTTGAAAAACCAATAAAAAAAATTGTTTTGGTTAATATTTACTTGCTTATTATTATTAAGGAACTCTTTAAAATTATGCACACACATTATTGTAGTATATTACATAACATAGTAGATACCTATGACGCATGCTGTCATAGATATTTGTTTTATAATATTATTTTCGCAGTGACCTGTTGGATGTTCGTCTTTTTATACGCGCTCTGGGCCTCCTCCCCTCTTATTGGTTTTGTTAGCCTTATCACCCACTCACCATACCACGCAGTGTTAAATTTTTAAATTTCTTTGAAGTTTTTATTGTACTTTGACTAATTTTTTGTTCATATAAGTATTATTGTTTAACTATAAACGTAACGATTAACGCCATTTTGTCGAGCAGCAGTTTGTTTTTTTAATTTAAAATTGATTATTATATTGTTTTATTATGTCATGAAAAAAGACAAAAAAAAAATTGTTTTTCTAAGTGCCTTTGAATGTACTAATGTACCTGTGTGTGTGTGTGTGCGTATGTGTGTGTGTACACTAAGTACTACTTATTATTAAAAAAAAAATCAGTGCAGGTAGTACGCACCCTTTAAACTGTTTTTTTTTCTTATTTTTATATTTTATTATTATTACATTATTATTATCATCATTATTATTATCATTATTATTATTATTATTATTATGATTATTATGATTATTATTTATGTTTTAGTTCAGATCATATTATACTGATATATAATGCACAATATTATTCGCCTTTGTTCAGAAAATAATATTAATTAAAATATACAATAGATGTTAGTGAAAATCGAATTTAAATATTGTTTGAGAATGAAATAAATATCGTCATACGCTATAATATTATGATGTAATAATTATTTATATATTATTGTCCTAGAGAGCATTATGTTTAAAGTAACATTGTATTGTTATAAATAACGTAAAAAAAATAATAATAAAATTCAAAGAAAATGTGTGTACTTTGTGTAAAACATGTAGATAGTTTAAAAATGAATAGTAATGTGCAATTGATTTCAGCAGTTAATAATAATAAAACAAATATAATTTAAATTTAAACTGACTTTTATTTATTTGTTATTTGTCCTTTAGGTACAACCATATTTACCTAATCCATTTAGTGTTGTCAATAATACTTTCAAACATTACATTGA